GGTCTTTTTCCACCGGGCAGCTTTCCAGCCACTCTTGCCCATGCCTGTAGCATTGCATGGAGTTACTGTGATCCCGGTGCAGGACCCGGCACCTGGCCTTGTTGAACCTCACACAATTGGCCACAGCCCATCAATCCAGCCTGGCCAGGTCCCTCTGAAAAGCCCTGCTTCCCTCCAGCAGATCGACACTCCCACCCAGCTTGGTGTCATCTGAAAACTTACTGAGAGTACACTCAGTCCTCATCTGTGCTCTGCTTCTGGCCTTCCTCACTCCTCTCTGGCCCCTGGGCCCCCACACTTTCCTGGTCACAACACCCAAGGCAGACACTGATGATCAAATCCCTGACCTTTTTTGCCAGGACTAGGTTCAGGTGAGCATCACCCTTCTTGGCCCACCTGGCAGCTGTGTTAGAAGTTGTCCAATGATCCTCCAGATTGTTGGCACCCTGTGGCTTTGCCTGGCCAGTGAATGCCAGGGTGCTTACAGATCCCCACGGGAACCTGTTCATTGGTCTGGAGACTGCCTCACATTGCTGACAGAAGACTTTTTCCTTTTCCTCTCCTTGATCAAGTGGTTCCCAATGGCCAACACAAGGTCACCCTTACTGACTCCTCTGGTCCTCAGTGACAAAAGATAGCCTGACCTGTTGCCTTGTTGTATGAATGACCTCCATAAATCTGAGCTGGGCCTTCATACAGGGGACATCCCCCCTCCTCAGATTCCCTACCACTCTCTCCAGCAGAGCCTGCCTTCCTCCACTGCAGTACCCCAGGTAAGCAAGCTGTCCCACCACATCTCATCTAATCCAAACCCATCCCAGTTCTGTCACAAGACAGGGGCCTCCAGATCCTCCTGGCTGTGCTCCAGCTCCTCTTGCCCATGCAGATGTTGGCCGCAGCACCTCAGCTGTGGCACCAGGGTGGAGCGCAGGCTCCTCACAGGGAAACCTGAGCAGTGATCCTGACCAGAATACCCTTGTCCATCGAGCAGTTAGTGCTGGGCTGGGCTGCACGTACAGCATAGCCTCCTCACCTGTGCTGTGCTGCACAGATCCCTTGGTCACAGGAAAAGCTCAGCAGCTTATTGTAACAGAGGAGTCTGCAGGCAGCTCCCACTTGGTACTGGCCATAATGCCACCTGCATGGTCTTGCTGGGATCTGCCAGGGTAGCAAGAAGTTCTCATGAGAATATTCTTTCTCTTTGGCTGAAGAGATGATAAATAGAGTTGTTTCTTTGTGACAAAATCCTGCAACAGTAGCCTGAATGACCAAACCAAGAGACTCTCTTCTATGGATGGGGGTTGCATGGTGTGTGGCATTTGGGTTGGAGGCCTGTTCAGTGCTACACCACCCAGGGACGCACCATCTAAAGGGACATAAGATTCTCTATACGACTCTTCCCTTACAGTGTTAGCTCTCATACAGAGCATTTTAGAAGATACCTTACAGGGTCCGAGTGCCTTTCTTACTGGGATCCTATCAGAAAACCCCTCTCCCAGCACACTTGAATGCAGCCCCTGTGGTCCCATGGGCTGCGGAGGGTGTGGTTTGCTAAAGGAACCCCAGGCTTGATCCTTATCCATGGCTGATTTTGTTTTTTCCAGAGTCCTGTCTCAAGGCAAATGGCCTGGGAGACCTTGCTGGTGGTCACGAAGGCAAAGAGCTCATTGGGTATCTCAGATCAATCTGCACCTATTCTTACTAAATCAGCACTGGTCCCATATTCCCTTGGATTCTTCTTTAACTCTTTCTGAAATAACAACCCCCCACCTTGGTGCGCTTGAATTCCTTTTCAAGTTTCCATGGGGTTTTGTTATGGAACACTGCTGTGCTTGGAGGAGGTGGTCCTTGAAGACAAGATGTATGCGGGCACATGGTGACAATGATTGGTCTATTCCTTGTCTCTGTTTCCAAGGGAGTGAGTGAAGACCTCAAAGTGATGGGATTGGTATTCATGCAATGCCTGCAGCTATTGGATAAGAATGGGACAGACCTTGCCTCTCTGATGGCATCTGATGACCCATGGCATCAAATCTGTCTGTGCTGCCATCTGGGGTGTCTCTCATGCACCCACTTGGAATGGGAATTGCTTTCCTGTAGGTCTCCTGTGCTTTCTCCATCAGCTTTGGCATCTCATTCATGTGGGCCTGGATCTGAACATTCAAGTGAATAGCTGTCATGGATTCTGGAGGGCAATGTGTGGATGAACATGAGAAACCTTCATTTACAGTGCAGATTTCGTAAGTACAGCTGGTGAGGAAGCGAGAGACAGTTAGCTCTCCTTATGGCACACGACTCCATTTGGTCAGAGGACTACCTCCATAGGCTGCTCTGACCAGACTGAGAAGGGACAGGTTCCATTTCCTATTGGTCATCTGCTGTCATTTCAGTTGGGCAAAGGAACATCGCAACAGCCTCAAAGACAACACTCCCAGCTACTGTTGTTTCTATGAATTTCTCCATCAGAGTTTTCAGTCACCTGCTGTGTACCTTGGACCACCTCTGGCACCTGAGATGTCACCAGGTGTTTGAGTCTGAACAAGTCACTCCTGGCTTCCACCTCTGGTAATGACCATGGGGGCTGAGACAATCAGCTCCCAGGCAGCAGGTGTCTATTTTGTGCCCACCGGAACTGAGTGAAGAGGAATCCCACCTCCTGTAGGTTTGGGGCAGCCACAGGTGAGAGCTTAGTCCCCCTCTATCCTCAGGACTACAAATCAATGCCTCGATGGGCTCAGCAGAATCCCTTCCCTCAACAGGGGTAAAGGAGATCACCCACTGTCACTATCTGTGCATCCTGTCTAATGATGAGACAAGGAAAGTTGATTCTTCTGCCAGACTTTTGTTATTAGCAAAGATGATGATGCTGTAAAGAAGTGTCCCTCCCCAGATGAGGCAAGGAACATCAGGGATTACTAAAGCCTGTTTCACAGCAGGTTCCCCTGGAGACCCAGAGACACCTGGAGGGAGCCCTGAGGGGGCAGAGCAAGTGCTGCCTTGGGCTGGTCCTCTGCTGCTGAGCTGGGCTGGGCTCCTGGGATGGAGGGAGCTGCTGGCAAGTGGGCAGCGCTGCAGAGAGACAGCTCTGCCCAGGAGCAGCTCCTCTGCAAAGCGCAGCAGGGCTGAGGGTACTGCCTGCAGGCACCGAGGGGAGAGGAGTGATGCAGAGAGAGTTTACAGGTGGTGGGGTCTTAGAGGATGCTGAGAGCTCACTGGGGTTAGACATCTTCACAGCCCTGTACATGGTAAGTCTCTGGGTGCAGGACAATGTTGCTGGTGTTCCTGGAGGGATCTCCTAAGGGTGGCACATCTCACAGCAGATAGGATCTGGCAGGATGATGCTCTCTGTTTCTTCATTGTGAAAGACAATGTGATCGTCCACAGGAAGGTTTCTTTCCACACTATCAGAGGGACAGGGCAAGACAGCTCCCTTCTCCTGGGATCGGTTGTAGGTGTGTGAAGGTGGGTGTGCAGGCCGGGGTGCCCAGGGCTGTCCTTCCCAGCAGGGTCCCTGCACCCAGGGGGCTGTGTGCTGG